TTATCTTATCTTATCTTATCTTATCTTATCTTATCTTATCTTATCTTATCTTATCTTATCTCATCTCATCTCATCTTATCTTTAATCTTGTTACAATAAAAACTTGTGTGGCCCTAATAGTCCATCATAGATTCTGAGTTTATTGGTTGCAAAAAACAAATGCTGACACACAAAAAAGAAGAGAATCAGAACTCTTTAGATGCTTTAAGCAAAGTTTAATATGCATGAAATAGCAAAGCTAACAAGAATGCAGTGACATCAGATTTATTTATACACATATAAATATATGTACATATATACTTTTACAGGTTTGCTCTGGTTGAATAGTTACAATCTCTACAGACGATTAAAGATTTGGGTGTGTCCATAACATAAAATATGCAGATCCATAGAAGATTAAAGCTCAATGCCCACTAAAACATTCAGATTATTAATGTTTGAAAGTTTGCCTGTCTGTTAGTTGGTGTAAAAGGTTTTTGAGGGAGTCAAAACTCCAAAATCACGTTATTATTTCAGAAATTAAGAATTATGTTCAGAAACAGTTTGCTTCTTATGAAATTATATGTTTTTTCCGTTGTTTTAGTTTTTGCAACAGATCAGCTGTAGCTGTCCTTTAAATCAGCCAACATTTGATCAGAATCAAAACTTCAGACACTGAAACGACTGCATTTTTATCTCCTTCTCTTCAGATTACTGATGACGTCCTGTAAAACCCCATACATCAAAGGAACTAAGAGACCAATATTTGTATAAAATATAGCTATATACAATAAATAGATTAAATTACTCTTCTTCCATAATCCTAATTCTACTTAAGTATTTGGTACCATCAAATCTAATCAGCTGACGGCCTCCGGGCCCTCAGGCATGCTGGGAGATGTAGTGATGCAGACAATCTGAGAATGAGCGTTTCTTCTGGTTCTCATGTAAACATGTAGCTGATGCACTTCCCTTCCCCAAGCAGCAATATAAAAATAAAAAGTACATCAAGGCTCTGGATCAGAACCAGTCAAAGGTCAGGAATCATCATGACGGTTGGCAGCCTGTCAATCAACCCGGGTCACCGTGAAAACAACCTGAGAAGACACCAGGAGCAGAATTTGACGGTCAGTTGGGTGGACGTGACTCTGTCAGGCTGATCCGGAGCTTCAGCAGGTTTGTGTCTCACCTAATGAGTCCAGCCCATGCTGATGAAGGAGTCAGACTCAAACATAGAGCTGGCAGATCTGCGTCTTCGTCCTCTGCCACACACCTGAAAATTAAAGGGAAAAGTCCAGACTTTAGAGAACAGAGATGCAGACAAACGTTGGATCAACGATAGCTAAAATGCTGCCTTTTTTACCAAAGTCTCATAGAAAACTTTCACATATGTGTTCAGGATGACTCTTAGCYATCACAACACCAAACTTTAGCTTRATATCTGTAAGTTARACTAGGTTTTAGCTGTTGTAAAGTCCRACAGTCAACTAGTTGTGGCAGCCACCTTGATTCAGGATGACTCCAAAGGTAATTCCAGGATATTTGACGGTTTGATAAATGAGAGGCGTACCTGGACACAGTTGCCCTCACTCTTCACACACAGGTGCAGACTGCAGTGCAGGTAGATTTCTCTAGAAGCTCCAGAGAACCTGAACATGTCGAAGGCGAAGAGGTCGACGATTCCCGCTCCGTTGTCCTTCATCGACACCGACTGGTCGGCGGGATTGGGACAGCTGSTCAGAAACAGGAAACACTTGGTTCAGTCATCAGATCAGAGGTTCAGGAAGCCTGCCGATGAACGGATCTCTGCGAGAGTCTCACCCGTTCTGGATCAGGTAGTATTTCTTGGTTGCTGTGGGGGACGGCAGGTCTGTGGCCCAGCAGGAGTCGGTGACCAAGGCGATCTCGTTTGCGTCCAGCCCGCTGGCCTCCAGCTTCACCCAGACCCTCTGGTTCAGYTTCAGGTTGGTGTACCTCTCCACGGCTTTGCTGCAGGCATCGTCAACRTAGGCCCTCATGGACACGGTGTAGGTCCAAGGTCCAGCTGTCATGACCCCGGACACTTGACTGCATAGCACACACACACTCAGTTGTGTTGGTTTTTGGTGTTTCTGAAGACAAACATGAAGTGGCTTTAATGAAACACACACCTCTCCATGATGGTGAAGGTAGCGCTCCGAATGCTGTGYCGAGTGTGATAGCAGGAGAAGTCCAACGCGAAGTCATCGTGACGGACGATCATGTCCGTTGAGATGTTCTGGCTCATGATGGTGTTCTTGTAGATGATTTCGGTGTCGTTGGWCTGCAAAGCCAAACAGGAAGTTGTTTTAGTTTTTCAGCCTCAGACGTCAGAGTCCTAAACGCGGCAGAGAGCCGGAGAAGCAAACTCACCATAATCTCTGTTCCACAGTTGGTGCTGTTGAAACTGAACGTGATCGTGTGGTTCTGCTGGTCCACCTGACCTTTGCAGGACGGGTCGTTGAGGTGTAAGACGGAGTAGTCGACGAGATTGTCCACCAGGAGACAGGTGGGCAGAGTGAGGGAGGCTGTGTTGTCCTGGCAGACTGTCGGATCGGCTGAACGTTGGAGAGAAAGAAACAAACTTAGACATCGTCCTGCAATCGTTTAGACATGTTGTAGACGTGTTTATGCCAAGGCTGTCGTACCCAGAGAGTTCCTCTGTTTGTAGCTGGACTCAAAAATGGCCCGACAGTAGCAACGATAATCTCCAAAATGAGAATTCTCTCCACAGAACTCGTGGTCGCTGCAGACCAAGTTCAGACATTGGCTCTTGTTGGCGTCTGCAGAGGGGGATACAGGGATATATTATTCTGTAAAACCCAACAGGTCGTTTCTTCAGAACAGTTCTGGATCAAAGCAGGTCTTACAGCACTCAGTCTGGGACCTCCAGCTGTCCGGGATGGTGAAGYTCTTCAGGCTGCAGGCTGTGACATAGTCCTGCAGGAACTGACAATTGAGGCCGTCCACGTCAGGATATTTGGACAAGGTGTTTGTGCAGGCGGTGATGTAGGGTTGTGGGTCGATGCTGCAGGAGGTGAAGGGCGCCTTCTTCAGGAGGTAACAGCTGCTCCACATCAAGAAACAGACATGAAATGATCAATAAATGGGTTTATATGATGCCCCAGAGTAAATCATAGGGAGATGTTCTGGATGAAGCTGCTCACCTGTCTGTCTTGTTGATGCAGTYGATAAAAGTGTTATCAGTGTTGGGATACTGCTTCTGACAGCTAGGGGGCGACACACAACAAGGTTAGACTCTGCTTCAACCAAACACAGAATTCATCTGTGAGGAGGTCTTACCCCAAGGAGCTGTAATCAGAGGAAACCGGTGCACTGCTGGAGTTTTCGCACAGACCCTGGAAGGTTGATTCAGTAGATCCTGGACCGGTTCAGGACAGAATGAGAGTCTCATCAGCAYCAATGTTCAAAYTGGATGAACACAGCAGAGTTCATCTTCACCATCAAACTAACTTATTGGATTTTCCATACCACTCAGTAGGATCCGAGCGGTGGTGCCGTCAAAGACGATGGTAACCTTTAAGTTGTTGATCTGAACCATGAGAGTGACTCCAATCGTGTTCTTGGAGACCATCACACCATTAAAGGTCTGAGGTGAGCTGCTSAGGGTCAGTGGTGTGTTGTTCAGCTGCATTAAGAGAGACAAACTGAGTGAAACATGTCAAACACACRAACARGYTGGATCTGGATCAAAACYCCACTCTGACTCACCACAACTCTGCCGCCTTGCTCCACGTGGAAGGTATTGCCATTCGCTTTCAGCCACAGGCTGTCCARGAAGCTCACATCTGTCAGACGACGGTCCTGGAAGCCGCCCATCACCTGGAACCCTGGGACTGATGAGATCTGCAGCAGGGTGTACGTACACCGGTCCTTCACGGAGTTCACGGTGCTGTGGAAGTCGATGACGGCGGGGCCCGTCAYGGTGCAGATGGAGTTCACGGCTGGGGAGGTACATCTGATGGAAACAGACAGAAACATGAAGAGCTGCTGCTGAGGCCCACAGCCACCAGGGGGCGCCCTATTCTTCAGATCTCAGACCTGATGGAGGCTCTAGACCAGAGATTCTTAACCCATGGGCCGGTGAGGGCCTCAAAAGAACAACAGTTTTTATCTTTGGGCCGCAGAGGGCCGTGGGACCACATTGATTTTAAATAAGGTGCAATACACTTTTTCCACCACTAATAGCAGTAGTGCGCCACTCAGATG